GAAGGTCCTGCACACCGCCAGTGTACATTGCCTTGCGAAAGTATTCGGCCCCCTTGAACCTTTCAACATTTCGCCACATTTCAGGCTTCAAACATAAAGATATAACATTTACATTTTTTGTCATGAATCAACAACAAGTGGGACACAATCGTGAAGTGGAACAAAATTTATATAATAATATAATTTAAACTTTTTTAACAAATAAAAAACTGAAAAGTGGGGCGTGCAATATTATTCGGCCCCTTTACTTTCAGTGCAGCAAACTCAGTCCAGAAGTTCAGTGAGGATCTTTGAATGATCCAATGTTGTCCTAAATGACTGATGATGATAAATAGAATGCACCTGTGTGTAATCAAGTCTCCGTATAAATGCACCTGCTCTTTGATAGTCTCAGGGTTCTGTTTAAAGCACAGAGAGAACCATGAAGACAAAGGAACACACCAGGCAGGTCCGAGATACTGTTGTGGAGAAGTTTAAAGCCGGATTTGGATACAAAAAGATTTCCCAAGCTTTAAACATCTCAAGGAGCACTGTGCAAGCAATTATATTGAAATGGAAGGAGTATCAGACCACTGCAAATCTACCAAGACCCGGCCGCCCCTCCAAACTTTCATCTCAAACAAGGAGAAGACTGATCAGAGATGCAGCCAAGAGGCCCATGATCACTCTGGATGAACTGCAGATAACTACAGCTGAGGTGGGAGAGTCTGTCCATAGGACAACAATCAGTCGTGCACTGCACAAATCTGGCCTTTATGGAAGAGTGGCAAGAAGAAAGCCATTTCTCAAAGATATCCATAAAAAGTCTTGTTTAAAGTTTGCCACAAGCCACCTGGGAGACACACCAAACATGTGGAAGAAGGTGCTCTGGTCAGATGAAACCAAAATCAAACTTTTTGGCCACAATGCAAAACGATATGTTTGGCGTAAAAGCAACACAACTCATCACCCTGAACACACCATCCCCACTGTCAAACATGGTGGTGGCAGCATCATGCTTTGGGCCTGCTTTTCTTCAGCAGGGACAGGGAAGATGGCTAAAATTGATGGGAAGATGGATGGAGCCAAATACAGGACCATTCTGGAAGAAAACCTGTTGGAGTCTGCAAAAGACCTGAGACTGGGACGGAGATTTATCTTCCAACAGGACAATGATCCAAAACATAAAGCCAAATCTACAATGGAATGGTTCACAAATAGACGTATCCAGGTGTTAGAATGGCCAAGTCAAAGTCCAGACCTGAATCCAATCGAGAATCTGTGGAAAGAGCTGAAGACTGCTGTTCACAAACGCTCTCCATCCAACCTCACTGAGCTCCAGCTGTTTTGCAAGGAAGAATGGGCAAGAATTCCAGTCTCTCGATGTGCAAAACTGATAGAGACATACCCCAAGCGACTTGCAGCTGTAATTGCAGCAAAAGGTGGCGCTACAAAGTATTAGCGCAAGGGGCCGAATAATATTGCACGCCCCACTTTTCAATTTTTTATTTGTCAAAAAAGTTTAAATTATCCAATAAATTTCGTTCCACTTCACGATTGTGTCCCACTTGTTGTTGATTCTTGACAAAAAGTTTAATTTTAATATCTTTATGTTTGAAGCCTGAAATGTGGCGAAATGTTGAAGGTTCAAGGGGCCGAATACTTTCGTTAATGCCTACTGTGTAGATTCCCTGTTAGATTGATGAATGCCAACTCCTCGTAAGTAGAGCGCGTGTGTCAGGTGCGTCATTAGCATAGGTACTTAGCATAGGTACTTAGCATAGGTAACCACCCATTAAAGCTGCACTGATTTGGAGACATTTTCAAAAGCAGCGATGGCCTCGCTCTCTCTGCTCGACCTCCCCACACCCTCAGCCTGTGCTCTGTGCTGTTGTTAGCTTCAGAGCTAGCGTTTCACAATATGGAACAATATGGCACTTTTGCACGTGGATGGCGTGACCATAGAATGACAGAACCGGGAAGCGCGGAGGAACGAGACTTTCTTTTGGCTGTTTGGCTGAGTAAGCAGTAACGAAGATACAGGAAGCTTCAGGTTAGCCTCCGCCGCTTGTTGTGCTAACTCAGCTGTCTGTGCTAACCACAGACCTGTGGCTTTTCTCAAGACTGCGGGGGCCAGTGGTCCGCTGTGATTGGTCACAATCTGAGATCCGAAACACATTATCTTCCTCGTTTCATGAAAACTCGATCCAAAATAAAATGTCACGCCAGAACAAACCTACTTATTCTTCAAAAGGACGAATATCCCAAAGTACTGCATGGACATGGATTGCATTTTCGTAATCAATACAAAAATAAAGTTGGTTAGTGCAGCTTTAATGCCCATATAAGGGACTGCAGGGCCGTGTGCAGACGCCAGAGGAAACAGAAACAGGCCTAAAGCAAAGACTTATACGGAGCCAAAGAGTCAACCTTTCTTTCTTCTTGTGCCAAACTGAGATTAGAGTCATAAAATGTTGACTCTAAAGTTGAAATATTATGAGAATAAAGTCAAACTAGAAAAATTATGAGATTAATCTAAAATTATTATGAGATTAATTTAAATATATTATGTACTACTTTAAATATTAATCTTAAAATATTATGTACTAATTTAAAAATAAATCTCAAAATGTTTTGAGATAAATCTCAAAATATCTCAGACCAGCGCCGAGACCAATGCAGACCCGAGGACTGGAGAGACCATAGACTATAGAGACCAGCGCAGACCCGTATAGATCCATAGGAGAGACCAGTGCAGACCCGTATAGATCCATGGGAGAGACCAGTGCAGACCCGTATAGATCCATGGGAGAGACCAGTGCAGACCCGTATAGATCCATGGGAGAGACCAGTGCAGACCCGTATAGATCCATGGGAGAGACCAGTGCAGACCCGTATAGATCCATGGGAGAGACCAGTGCAGACCCGTATAGATCCATGGGAGAGACCAGTGCAGACCCGTATAGATCCATGGGAGAGACCAGTGCAGACCCGTATAGATCCATGGGAGAGACCAGTGCAGACCCGTATAGATCCATGGGAGAGACCAGTGCAGACCCGTATAGATCCATGGGAGAGACCAGTGCAGACCCGTATAGATCCATGGGAGAGACCAGTGCAGACCCGTATATGGGAGAGACCAGCGCAGACCCGTATAGATCCATGGGAGAGACCAGTGCAGACCCGTATAGATCCATGGGGAGAGACCAGTGCAGACCTGTATAGATCCATGGGGAGAGACCAGTGCAGACCCGTATAGATCCATGGGAGAGACCAGTGCAGACCCGTATATGGGAGAGACCAGTGCAGACCCGTATGATACCATGGGAGAGACCAGTGCAGACCCGTATAGATCCATAGGAGAGACCAGTGCAGACCCGTATAGATCCATGGGAGAGACCAGTGCAGACCCGTATATGGGAGAGACCAGCGCAGACCCGTATAGATCCATGGGAGAGACCAGTGCAGACCCGTCTAGATCCATAGGAGAGACCAGTGCAGACCCGTATAGATCCATGGGAGAGACCAGTGCAGACCCGTATAGATCCATAGGAGAGACCAGTGCAGACCCGTATAGATCCATGGGAGAGACCAGTGCAGACCCGTATAGATCCATGGGAGAGACCAGTGCAGATCCCCGTATAGATCCATGGGAGAGACCAGTGCAGACCCGTATAGATCCATGGGAGAGACCAGTGCAGACCCGTATATGGGAGAGACCAGCGCAGACCCGTATAGATCCATGGGAGACACCAGCGCAGACCCGTATAGATCCATAGGAGAGACCAGTGCAGACCAGTATAGATCCATGGGAGAGACCAGTGCAGACCCGTATAGATCCATGGGAGAGACCAGTGCAGACCCGTATAGATCCATGGGAGAGACCAGTGCAGACCCGTATAGATCCATGGGAGAGACCAGTGCAGACCCGTATAGATCCATGGGAGAGACCAGCGCAGACCCGTATAGATCCATGGGAGAGACCAGCGCAGACCCGTATAGATCCATGGGAGAGACCAGTGCAGACCCGTATAGATCCATGGGAGAGACCAGTGCAGACCTGTATAGATCCATGGGAGAGACCAGTGCAGACCCGTATATGGGAGAGACCAGCGCAGACCCGTATAGATCCATGGGAGAGACCAGTGCAGACCCGTATAGATCCATGGGAGAGACCAGTGCAGACCCGTATAGATCCATGGGAGAGACCAGTGCAGACCCGTATAGATCCATGGGAGAGACCAGTGCAGACCTGTATAGATCCATGGGAGAGACCAGTGCAGACCCGTATATGGGAGAGACCAGCGCGGACCCCGCAGCCTCCTGCAGCAGCAGTATATATGCCATGGTTCTGTGGCTCATGGATAAAGAAATGTACCCATAGGATGGGGTCACTTATACACGGCATAAAGCGTTGGCACATTTAATGAATTAAAAAATAGGCTAAATTACCACAAAAACTGTAATGTTGTGTTTTATTGAACTTCACAAAAGAAGACAACACCAGCGTGCGAACATGTCGGCACTGAATGTGCTTAAGAGGCTCCTGAGCACTCGTAGGATTTGTACCTCAGAGAAATTCTGGTTACGAGAAAATTTCATGAATACCACAATCTCCGTAAAATCCTTGTAAGTAGGAAACGACGCACAAATTTGTTGTTACGAACGGTTCGTGAATGAGGCCCGATGTTAGCAGACCTGTTAAAGTCTGTTAGGTTTGTCTGCTCAGCACACGGCAGATCAGAGAGTTTGGACAAGGGGGAAGTAGAGCAGTGAGATTTTGGAGAGGGGTTTAGGAGAAAGAAAACTATTCTCTTTGAATCACTTCTTAACACCGAAACCTTTAAATAAGTGAAACCTCCTGCAAAGGCACCAGGTTGTCTGAATAAGAACAAAGAGCCTCTGTTTGGCCTGGTAATGAACAATATGCTCCATGTGGATGATAAACTTCAATAATACATAAGTATGTGAGTCCCTCTGGTCCTGTGGGCATCCCCATGGGGAAAAGCTGAGGCAGGCTGATGCAGGCTGATGCAGGCCAAAACACACCCACGTTTCCCATTGTCTGGGTGGATGGCCCGCTTCAGCACGGGTTTGCACTGTATACATTCCTTATGTTTTATAAAGTTATTACAAATCGTCCTGTTTCTTTAATGATGACACTGGCAGATGCCACTCAGTAAAGTGCATTTATTTTGGTCTGTTTGTACGTATAATGGGAACAATGATATGATAAAGAAAAGGGAAGAGGGAAATACACACTTTAATCCTCTCAGATTAAATTATTTGTCCAGAGTCAGGAATAATATGTTAAACTAACGACTGCCTTCATAATTTGATCATTTTTACGCTGGTTTTATGCTGAGTGTGAGTGCTTCAGATCACGACGCGTAACTAGTGCCATTATTCTGATGCGTCACTTTTTGACATTGGAAATAAATGTTTTTATTTTGATTTCAATACATAATTCAGTTATTTAAAAGACATGTTTATTGTAAATCTATCAACTCGAAAAAGGAGTGAGAAGTAACAAAGGAATATATGATAAAAATCATCTGCCTAAACATTTATTTTGTCCTTTGTGTTTTGACCAAAAATAAAACCTTTTTGTATTTAGCAAATATGTCTCCATCCTCGTTCATAAATTTACCAAGGTTATACAGATTTACTGACAAATATAAATGTAAATAGAAGTGAAAGTGTGTGGAAGGAAATCGTAACTTTTAAACCCATTTTCTGCACGTGTACTGACGAATGAATGAAACAAAGTCTTGATCACAGATTTATTAAAAACAAAAGTAAAGTTCAAAACCAACAATTTACAAAGTCCAAAGTACGTCTGAGACCAGGTCCAGACCAGGTCCAGACCAGGTCCAGACCAGGTCCAGACCAGGTCCAGATGAGGGGAAAGTGAAGTCTCCGGTCACTAGTTTGTAATCTCCTCACTTGTGGGAAGTGATTCTCAATCAAATAAATATACACACGACAACTTAAGTACAAGCACAAAACAGAAACATGTGAAAGAGCAAGATACAGCACAGTAGCACAGGGAGGACGTTAGCTTAGCTGCTATCGATAGCTAAATGAAGCTAATTGTAGCTAGCTCACTGTGTACAACAGACAAACATGTACACAGTAAATACATTTCAGTGAGAGCTTTAAAGGGATTCGTAGCTAACAGTTATTTCAGGATTACCACAGACTAGTCACAAATCCAGAGCTGCTGATCTCCTGAAAACCTCGTTCTGTGTTGTACGTTCGAGGTCCCTTTGAATTCTTTCTTCGGCCTAAAGAGAGAACCGTGTGGACCTCGTCGACCGACCAGGACGTTGAGTTTTGGGGATTTCTGTGCGATTCCATTTCTCTGGAGTGAGGAGGACGTTATTAAAATAGATCCATGGGAGGATGTACTGAAGCAGAGAGGCCGGTTTTAAAGATGGAAGGGTTGGGTTGTTTTTACCGCAGGGACGTCGCTTCCAGTGACGACACTCGTCGACCAATCAGTGTAAGGCAGTCAGCTGACGTCGTGTCATGGTATCGCTCGTATTTCATATCGCTTCAGCTCGGTACAATAAAAGTACCCCCAATCCTAAGCCTAACTCTAGTGGAAATGCAAAATAGCTGCGCTGTGCCGTACTGTGCCGTTACTGTGGACAAGCGGAATAAACTTATTCCATTGGACCAGGAGAAATAAAATCTGGATCAGCAGTTGCAACGTTTAACTTTCGTCCAAAATCATAAACAAGCTTTGACATTTCCCTTGTGCTTTCAGGGCGTGGAAGCTGACCCTGCTGGATACACGCAGGAACCCTGTGAGTGCATCTTATTTTATAACCAGCTTGGTCATGGACCACTCGTGCTACTGCAGTCTCTTTCTTTATAGCTGAGTAAATAAATATATATAAATCATATATAATATGTTATTTTGATTGCAGGTGTTTGCGTATGACCCCTATGACGACTCGTACCAGGCCATTCCTCTGAGCAGCTCCCACACGGTCTACATCAGTCCAGGGGCCGGCCCAGGTAGGCTCTCGCAAACTATTCACCGTGGTTTTAAAGAACATTATGATGCAATGTGATGTGTGGATTTTGGCCCTTAGACATGATCTTGAGAATTTACTCTTTTGCATTTCATGTTGAAGAAATAATTGTGAAATAATTGAGTAAGTTAAAGTAACATGAAAAAGAGACAAATGACGAGAGTGCAACAGTCTAACAGTGACAGGTGTAGTACATACTGCTTATTTTATATCCTATTTAGTTTGTTTTTGTTGAATATTTGAAATAAATATATTGGATAGATCATATCTAGATTCTGTCTGTCCCTGAAGCCTCAGTACGGATGTGTCAGAGTTTGTTCCAGATGCATTTGTGAGGTTTGTGCCAGAAGTGTGGAGCTGAAAGCAGCTGTAACACAGGTTAAAGTTCCAGTATGTACAAACATATTCTTATGGACTTGTTCTTGTCCTGGAGGTGGTTTCCTCCGGCTGCAGTCTTCCACAGTATGGCTTTAAACAAATACATTTAATCTGAGAAAGTTGAAATATACCGCAACTCTTGACAGCCTATTGTGTGCACCTAGTACACTTGTATATAGTAAACTGGAGACATTTATGTAGATTTTTATTTATGCATGATTCTATTCTGTTCCTCACATGGCAGTAAAAGGATCCTGATATAATATACAGTATACAGTATGGAAAGCCTCAAGACAAAGATGCATTCAAATAATGTTCATTGAGCATGAATAAATGGTAGCTGTATGATTAAACAACGGACACATGGTGTGGTGCTATGTGTTTATTGCATTTCACACATTAAATAATAGATTAGATCCCAGCAGAACTATTACATGAGGAATTTCATAGAGATTATAAACCTGCAAATCTCCCGGAGCCTGAACCTCCGTGACGACGGAAGCTCCACTGATGACGTGCTGATGGGGAGGAGGAGGTGTTCTGGGTTTCTGTATTCTGTGTTCTTTTATCACTGCAGTAAGTTGCTGTGTGTTCCGCACAGGCTCTCACCAGGTGGTGGTACAGAGGTGTTCTGGGTTTCTGTATTCTGTGTTCTTTTATCACTGCAGTAAGTTGCTGTGTGTTCCCCTCTGCACAGGCTCTCACCAGGTGGTGGTACAGAGGGACCCCTTTGATGACCTCACGGGGCACATCGTCCTGGGGCTGGTCACTGGGATGGCTGCAGGCGTTGCCATGCGTTCGTTCCTGTGGATGCCCTTCTTCTTCTGCTGAGGCCTAGCGTCTCAGCTTCAACAAGGATTGTACTGTGATACTAAGCAGATAATCAGACCTTTGCAGACACAGCAACATGTCCTCCTTCATGGTGTAAAGAAGCTGCTAATCCGTCTTTGCTCAAAGCTATGTGTTACAGGATGCATTACCTCAGTTCATTTGGGCCTTACACATGTATGATCGGGAGAACATTCACTTTACTAACATGACATAAAGGCAGAGTCTGTAGATATACAGTCTATAGGAATGTGCAACACTCCCATCTAGTGGAAAACTAAATTATAGGCATTTGTTCTAAAGCTACAAAGAGAAAATCTCTGTCCATGGAGTCTACACAGCCGCTTCTCTAAGGCCATGCCTCTTTTGTGGGATTGGATTTAGATAATAATACTTCCATGGACTGGAAGCATTACTCTTTAAAATGGCTGGGTAATGCAAACCTTCAATTCGTACTTTTTAAGCTTAAAACTCTACAACCAGCATCAGACCAACAGAAAAAGCCTTTGCACAGACTCATGGATGTTTTACCGAGACTCATCCAAAAATATTGGCATTTCATCCCTAGCCCCAACTTAACCATAATAAGTCCGAGCATCGGAGCGGCAAAATGTGACATATTATTTTCAATTTTTGAATAAAGTTAATTTCTCCCGTTTGCCAACAAAGCCGGAGTTGCAAAAAATTTTAATCCATTGTTCCAGCTCCAGGTCTAGTCTTTGAAAGTGGAAATATTGATATTGCTCATTAGCGCCCCCTACAGACTATGGCAAAGTTTAGATGGGCCTAATAAAATTTATTTTTCAAAATGTTATAAATTGTTGCACATAATTCCTGTTTTTGTCATCGTGGATTCAAAAAGTCAATTACAACATATGGTTATTATTTTACCCTGTTTGCCGTGGCGACGACCAACACTCCCCTGTCTGTTGTCTATGGTAAAATCATTATATCTCGAAAAGTACACTCGCTCAAACATCAAACTCAGCCGCGGCCGTTTCACTAATTTGGGCTGAAAATCGCGTCCACATCGTCTTCAACACATGGACCATCATATTAATATTAGAATTTGAATTAATCAAACGTCTGCGCAGTGACAGACTCCCAAAGTGTGGTTAGTTCATAGAGAGGGTGTGAAGTTCCTGTTATCCAATGGAGACTGTAAGCGAACTATCTAAAAAGAACGTCACTAAGACACGCCCCCGCCGCCTGTCAACTCCCCGCCCACATGGTTCGACAAACACTGCCGAAATGAAAATTCAAAAATACCACCTTTTTTGTCCACTTAGACGAAATGTTACTACCAGGGCAAAATTCCACCATCAAACCATCAGGATTTAAATTGCAATGTTAGCGCCTTCTTTGTTTATTTTGCTCTGATTAACTTCCATTTATCAAGTTGTTTTTTGTACTGTCCATTTCGTAATTAGTTTGATCATTTAGTTAACTACAGTCAGCCGATATTATAATAGATCCATGGGGTCACAACGGGCTACACCACTACTGTCTCTGAGAGAGAAACTATCGGAGCTAGCCACACTCAGTAAACGCAAAACGACAATCAATCAACATATTTAAATGTTAATGCTAGAATATATTATTCAATACAACACACGTGCACAGAGGTTTTCAGAATTATCTGTTAAGGTTTTCATGACAAAAATACTTTTTTAATGCGACTAAAGCGATCGCTTTTTTAAAGTAGGTGAACTAAAACCTTTGGGAACTATTTTCTTTGCACTCATTAAATAAACCTTTTGGCATGAATAGTGACAGAAGTTTATTTTGTGTGTTCAGTTGGTACAAAGCCGTATAATAAGCGGACCCCAACGCGCTTCGTCTGTGCTTATTTTCCGATAGTCACGAAGTTGAAAAAATCCCTCTCATCTTTCTTCAGGTGTGAGAATTGTATACTTTCTGGATTAGGACAAACAATACTAATTTGGATTGATGGGGCTAACTACATTCAGAAGAGCTCAGACGGACCTGATACAGCGGTCCAGGTCCAGTCCCAGCTAAACGTAGCTAGGACTGGATCTGGAGGCTCCACAGTTGGTCCAGCGAAGTGTTTTGAAAAAACATGTCCTTTTTAACATTTTCATGAGAGAAATTCTGCTGACCACAAGCACCCACCTCTTGCACTTGTCCTGGTCTGGTCCTGGTCTGGTCCTGGTCTGGTTCGATGGTGTGGTTTAACGAACGGGTTGAATGTTACTTTCATATAGTCCTTTTCAGAGTATCTGAAATCGCTCCCACAAGCACCATAACTGCAGTGTTTTGTTGTCACCATGATTCAATGATTTAGCCCAAATAAATACACACGCGTATGTGGAGAACACAGTAGAACTCAACGGAGTCGGACAGAGTTTGTCCGAAACATGCGCGCATGCGCAGTCATTGGAACTATTTTTAGCACATTTCGGAAACCGGACAGTGCCCTATTGCAACGTCACTGGGAGGGGGGAAAATAAAAGACGCGTGAATCACACGAGACTCACGTGTGATTCACGCGTGAAAGGCGACAAAACGGAATGGGACCTACTGTAACGCTAGAAGTGTAAATATCATCATAGGTTAACATGGGAAAAAATTACGCGTGTCTGCTGCGCGTATAACGCGTACGTGCTGTAACGCCTCATGTGTAAATTAGCAGTAAGCCCCCCTTCTTGTCCTTGGTCCTCGGGCAACGCCCTTTTAAAGAAAATGTTCAAATGTTCATGTGGGCGGAGTCAAGCTGGGCACAAGTGTTTAGTCGCTCTTTAAAGGGGGCCAGCGCAAACAGAGTCGTTCTCTGACAAGGCTCACAAGAAGTTCGGGACTTTGAACACTGGAGCATAAATTAATATTATCTACCACAATAAAACATTTTAATACAACCTATACATATCATATAAGAATGTAATATTTCTGCTTTAAAGTTAATTTGGTTGTGGGTGTCTTGTCTTGTGTTTAAAATTAGACCTAGAGTCTGTAATAAAGTGTGTGTGCGTATTAATATCAGGAAATTGTGCCACAAATCAACACAGACATGTGCACTCGCACCTTCTGTCAAAATTATTTCTGAAATGTGGGACTTAAAACAAAGTCTCAGGCTGGTGTGTTTAGGGGTCAGCGCTGTTTTCCACCAAATTGCCTCTAACTTATTTTTGGCTATTTCTCCATTTATCAAACATAATTTTCAACTGCATTTCTTTAATTACTGTGTGTTGTGCTTGATATTGAATGTAATGTGTCTCGTCTACCACTAGATAGACGTTCACTAATCTATTTTAGGTCTTTATCCATTATACATGTTTATTCCAAAAAAGTCCAAATTCTCAAGATCGTATGTTAGTGCCAAAATGTTCAAGAATTACTGAGGCTCTGATCTGACCGACTTGACACCAGCATCAGTCTTCAGAGCGCCCATAAGTCAACGCAGCCATTTTGTTTTGACAGACCAAAACACAGCCCCACAAATCACAGGTGAAGAAAGATGTGTTTACATGAGGCCATAGGAGGTATCCATCACAGACAGGGCAGGTGCAGAAGCAGGAGGATCCAGGAGCAGGAGGTCCAGGAGCAGGAGGGTCCAGGAGCAGGAGGGTCCAGGAGCAGGAGGGTCCAGGAGCAGGAGGGTGCAGGAGCAGGAGCAGGAGGGTCCAGGAGCAGGAGGGTGCAGGAGCAGGAGGGTCCAGGAGCAAGAGGGTCCAGGAGCAGGAGGGTCCAGGAGCAGGAGGGTCCAGGAGCAGGAGGGTCCAGGAGCAGGAGGGTGCATGAGCCAGGAGGGTCCAGGAGCAGGAGGATCCAGGAGCAGGAGGGTGCAGGAGCAGGAGGGTCCAGGAGCAGGAGGGTGCAGGAGCAGGAGGGTCCAGGAGCAGGAGGGTGCAGGAGCAGGAGGGTGCAGAAGCAGGAGGGTCCAGGAGCAGGAGGGTCCAGGAGCAGGAGGGTCCAGGAGCAGGAGGGTCCAGGAGCAGGAGGGTCCAGGAGCAGGAGGGTGCAGGAGCAGGAGGGTCCAGGAGCAGGAGGGTCCAGGAGCAGGAGGGTCCAGGAGCAGGAGGGTCCAGGAGCAGGAGGGTCCAGGAGCAGGAGGGTGCAGGAGCAGGAGGGTGCAGGAGCAGGAGGGTGCAGGAGCAGGAGGGTGCAGGAGCAGGAGGGTGCAGGAGCAGGAGGGTCCAGGAGCAGGAGGGTCCAGGAGCAGGAGGGTGCAGGAGCAGGAGGGTGCAGGAGCAGGAGGGTCCAGGAGCAGGAGGGTGCAGGAGCAGGAGGGTCCAGGAGCAAGAGGGTCCAGGAGCAGGAGGGTCCAGGAGCAGGAGGGTCCAGGAGCAGGAGGGTCCAGGAGCAGGAGGGTGCATGAGCAGGAGGGTCCAGGAGCAGGAGGATCCAGGAGCAGGAGGGTGCAGGAGCAGGAGGGTCCAGGAGCAGGAGGGTGCAGGAGCAGGAGGGTCCAGGAGCAGGAGGGTGCAGGAGCAGGAGGGTGCAGAAGCAGGAGGGTCCAGGAGCAGGAGGGTCCAGGAGCAGGAGGGTCCAGGAGCAGGAGGATCCAGGAGCAGGAGGGTCCAGGAGCAGGAGGGTGCAGGAGCAGGAGGGTCCAGGAGCAGGAGGGTGCAGGAGCAGGAGGGTCCAGAGCAGGAGGGTCCAGGAGCAGGAGGGTGCAGGAGCAGGAGGGTGCAGGAGCAGGAGGGTCCAGGAGCAGGAGGGTCCAGGAGCAGGAGGGTCCAGGAGCAGGAGGGTCCAGGAGCAGGAGGGTCCAGGAGGGTCCAGGAGCAGGAGGGTCCAGGAGGGTCCAGACTTGATAAGCAATTCACAAGCGCACTTGGGCTAATAAAGCAGAGGGACCTACTTTCTGGTGAATGGTGGAAGTTTAATTAAGCAGGACAATTCTGCTAATATTTGTATCTCTTTTTATGCTGAGCTCTGGCCCAGGAGGGCAGAGGCCTATTGTACTTATTTTTAGATTTTTACTGATAGGGGAAATCAGCGCATCACACAAATTCTGTTGGCTCCATTCATCATCTTTGCTGGTTCTCCCTGTGGGTGCTCAGAGCCCCCTCCTGACCCTATCACATAAACACTGCTCCATATGTATCTTTTAAGAGCACTACTATGAGAACTGCACACCTTTCAGAACACATTTTTATTGACGGCTATTAAGAATCTTCCTGCTCATGGCAAAAGCAAGTTCTAAGCAAAAGGACAATCCATCTGTATCCAACTTTTATAAATTGTAATTAATTCATAAAATGCACAATGAATAGAATACATATACAAATTAAAATGGAAGATTAGGTACCAAATAATTAATTTAGTGAGTGTTAGATCAACTTTAGGAGGAGGCAAGGGGAAAGGTTGAAACATGAGGCTCTCGTAATCTGGGTCTGTTTCTTGGAGCGAAGATGACACTTGCATGGACCGGGATAACTAACTGCACTGGTCACAGTCTGTGCGTCTCCAGAATGCACCTATGGCCAATCCTTAAAGAGCAAAGCAATAGTGCATTATATCATCAACTATCACTAATCTGATAAATATTAAGTCCTCACTTACTGAATTTTAAATCAGAATATTGTGGTATTAATTGTTTGGAGCAATTTGAACACTCAGTGGGCCTCATGTATGAAAATTGCGCAGAAAAAGGTGTACATTTTGGGTGTAGATTCCAGATACGCAAGATCTGACGTGGCATTTATGAACGTGTGAGGCACAGATCTGAGCGTACGCACCTGCGGCTGTTGATAAATGCCGCGCTCGAAACCAGCGTATTTATGAAAGTCACGCCTAGAAATATTCAGAAACTGCCTGTTCCACGCCCTGGTTTTGCGACAGGTCAGCAGGAAGTCTGCTAAGAAGGCCAAAAGCTCGCAATTTTGAGTTTATTCACGTGAAAAATAAAAATAAAATTTCGACGTAAATAAATAAATAATAAATAAGCTGAATGAATGAATGAACTATATGGCTGGTGCGTGTCGCATCCTATCTTTACTGCGGAGTAAAGGGCAGTGGATGAGCAGTTTTGAGCAAGATCAGGTGCATTTATGGGGCTTTATGCACAAAACTAAGGAAAACCCACATTGCTTTGCCAGAGGTGAATGAGGCAAAACATATGCTTAATTACGTGTACGGCGCAGGGTCTGCCACAGGTTGTTCATGCTTATGTAAAAATAAATATACGCTATTTATTCAGCTGCGTTTTAAATAAATTTGCAGAAATGTTTTGATAAATTATAAAAATCTCTCTTGGATTGTAGAAATGAATTAAAGCAGCAGTAAGCGATTTGGTCGTTTCCGGCAGTTTCTTCTGCCTGAGCGAGTTAGTAGCCCCGCCCCCGTCTCCTCGTCACACCACATGAACGCGCATCGTCTTGGTGATGGCAGCAGCATGTTCATCTCCGTCGGGTCTACTCGTAAGTATATTAACAAACTCTGGGAGTGAAATATTAGCATAGAATAGCTCAGTTGTAACCTAGCTATAACACTGGAAGCAGCTTGGTGTTAGCTAGGATAGCATCACTAAGAAAGAGATAAAAACAATCCAGTCTTTTATAGAATAATACTGCTTTTATAGTTGGCACACTGATAACTGTTGTGATAAACATAATGTTGCAGATTGCAGTGTGACGTGTCTCAACATTATGCACTGTAACATCTGTTACAGTGCATATGTATTAGATGAATGTAATGCATATACATTACAACAACAAAGCTTTACATGAAGGTTATTTAAAGTAATACATTACTGCTTTCCTCACAATTTGTATATTTGGAGTTCTTTATAGACAACACTGTAGTAATGTATTATGTGAAAGTAAAGCTGCATCTCACTGGAGGCTGCCTTCTCAATGTCACAAAATAAAGATACATTTATTGATGTAATCAACATCTGTATTATGTGCTTATTGTTCAGAGAATGAAGACAAAATCTAAGTGTATCAGAGCTGTACAGTGAGATGTGGGACTGAAAAACAATTCCAGTAAAGCTTGTCCGAAACGCAAAAGTACTGTCATAACTAATTACGTTACACTATTACACTGTAAGGAAACTCACCACTTTGAAAGAAAAGCTACAAGTAACAGAATATATAAAGTCATTTGTCATAACGGTTCTTTCAGGAAGCACTGAACGCCCTCTGTCCAGAGAAGCTGATGACCAGATCCTTTCCCTGATGCGTCTGTGAAAGGTGCCAACAGACATTGAAAACGTGCTTTCCTCAGCGGCCCCCATGGTGCACGTCCTCAGCGGCCCCCATGGTGCACGTCCTCAGCGGCCCCCATGGTGCACGTCCTCAGCGGCCCCCATGGTGCACGTCCTCAGCGGCCCCCATGGTGCACGTCCTCAGCGGCCCCCATGGTGCACGTCCTCAGCGGCCCCCATGGTGCACGTCCTCAGCGGCCCCCATGGTGCACGTCCTCAGCGGCCCCCATGGTGCACGTCCTCAGCGGCCCCCATGGTGCACGTCCTCAGCGGCCCCCATGGTGCACGTCCTCAGCGGCCCCCATGGTGCACGTCCTCAGCGGCCCCCATGGTGCACGTCCTCAGCGGCCCCCATGGTGCACGTCCTCAGCGGCCCCCATGGTGCACGTCCTCAGCGGCCCCCATGGTGCACGTCCTCAGCGGCCCCCATGGTGCACGTCCTCAGCGGCCCCCATGGTGCACGTCCTCAGCGGCCCCCATGGTGCACGTCCTCAGCGGCCCCCATGGTGCACGTCCTCAGCGGCCCCCATGGTGCACGTCCTCAGCGGCCCCCATGGTGCACGTCCTCAGCGGCCCCCATGGTGCACGTCCTCAGCGGCCCCCATGGTGCACGTCCTCAGTGGCCCCCATGGTGCACGTCCTCAGCGGCCCCCATGGTGCACGTCCTCAGCGGCCCCCATGGTGCACGTCCTCAGCGGCCCCCATGGTGCACGTCCTCAGCGGCCCCCATGGTGCACGTCCTCAGTGGCCCCCATGGTGCACGTCCTCAGTGGCCCCCATGGTGCACGCCCAGCGGCCCCCATGGTGCACGTCCTCAGCGGCCCCCATGGTGCACGTCCTCAGCGGCCCCCATGGTGCACGTCCTCAGCGGCCCCCATGGTGCACGTCCTCAGCGGCCCCCATGGTGCACGTCCTCAGCGGCCCCCATGGTGCACGTCCTCAGCGGCCCCCATGGTGCACGTCCTCAGCGGCCCCCATGGTGCACGTCCTCAGCGGCCCCCATGGTGCACGTCCTCAGCGGCCCCCATGGTGCACGTCCACTCTGCAGTTCTGAAATATGTTTGTAGTTGTACTATTTCAAAATAAAAAAAAATACATTCACCTCTTTCAATGTGCTTTGTTTTATAGTAGGAAAACAAATACAGTCTGTAACGAGTCTAAGAAACTTTATTATGTAAAAGAAGATTTGAAGTTATAGCCGGAAAAATATACACAATGTCCCTACTAAGACAAATAATTACAAGTGATGGTAAGGCAACGTTTGTGTTATCACTTTTTGCTCAAATGAATAACACTGTTATTATCCAGGTCCTTATCCATCGCTGCTGCAGCGAACACTATCAGAGATATCTAACAAAATGTTAATCTTTATGTTGTAGCTTGTTTGAACACATTTCCTCAAAATAATTCATAAGCAGCCACGCACACACAGCCACAAGCACACACAGCCACAAGCACACACAAGCACACACAGCCACAAGCACACACAGTCACAAGCACACACAAGCACACACAGCCACAAGCACACACACACAGCCACACACACACAGCCACACACACACAGCCACAAGCACACACAGCCACGCACACACAGCCACAAGCACACACAGCCACAAGCACACACAGCCACAAGCACACACAGCCACGCACACACAGCCACAAGCACACACAAGCACACACAGTCACAAGCACACACAGCCACAAGCACACACAGTCACAAGCACACACAGCCACACGCACACACAGTCACACGCACACACAGTCACACGCACACACAGCCACACACACACACAGCCACAAGCACACACAGCCACACGCACACACAGCCACACACACACAGTCACACGCACACACAGTCACACGCACACACAGTCACACGCACACACAGCCACACGCACACACAGCCACACGCACACACAGCCACACGCACACACAGCCACAAGCACACACAGCCACACGCACACACAGCCACAAGCACACACAGCCACACGCACACACAGCCACACACACACACAAGCACACACAGCCACAAGCACACACAGCCACACGCACACACAGCCACACGCACACACAGCCACACGCACACACAGCCACACGCACACACAGCCACACGCACACACAGCCACACGCACACACAGCCACACGCACACACAGTCACACAGTCACGCACACAGTCACACGCACACACAGCCACACGCACACACAGTCATACGCACACACAGTCACACGCACACACAGCCACACGCACACACAGCCACACGCACACACAGCCACACGCACACACAGTCACACGCACACACAGTCACACGCACACACAGTCATACGCACACACAGTCACAAGCACACACAGCCACACGCACACACAGCCACACGCACACACAGCCACACGCACACACAGCCACACGCACACACACACACACGCACACACAGTCACACGCACACACAGTCACACGCACACACAGTCACACGCACACACAGCCACAAGCACACACAGCCACACGCACACACAGCCACACGCACACACAGCCACACGCACACACAGCCACACGCACACACAGTCACACGCACACACAGCCACACGCACACACAGCCACACGCACACACAGTCACAAGCACACACAGCCACAAGCACACACAGCCACACGCACACACAGTCACACGCACACACAGCCACACGCACACACAGTCACACGCACACACAGCCACACGCACACACAGCCACACGCACACACAGTCACACGCACACACAGTCACGCTTCAGGGGCCCAGGTTGAAGGAACTGGAGTCTTCCTCTGGCAGAGATTTTCCTTTGAAACACAGCAGAGGTGGAGTAGTCTCTGGGTGGAACAGGACGGGTCACAGCAGCAGAGGTGGAGTAGCCTCTGGGTGGAGCAGGACAGGTCACAGCAGCAGAGGTGGAGTAGCCTCTGGGTGGAGCAGGACAGGTCACAGCAGCAGAGGTGGAGTAGCCTCTGGGTGGAGCAGGACGGGTCACAGCAGCAGAGGTGGAGTAGCCTCTGGGTGGAGCAGGACGGGTCACAGCAGCAGAGGTGGAGTAGCCTCTGGGTGGAGCAGGACGGGTCACAGCAGCAGAGGTGGAGTAGTCTCTGGGTGGAACAGGACGGGTCACAGCAGCAGAGGTGGAGTAGCCTCTGGGTGGAGCAGGACAGGTCACAGCAGCAGAGGTGGAGTAGCCTCTGGGTGGAGCAGGACGGGTCACAGCAGCAGAGGTGGAGTAGCCTCTGGGTGGAGCAGGACAGGTCACAGCAGCAGAGGTGGAGTAGCCTCTGGGTGGAGCAGGACGGGTCACAGCAGCAGAGGTGGAGTAGCCTCTGGGTGGAGCAGGACAGGTCACAGCAGCAGAGGTGGAGTAGCCTCTGGGTGGAGCAGGACGGGTCACAGCAGCAGAGGTGGAGTAGCCTCTGGGTGGAGCAGGACGGGTCACAGCAGCAGAGGTGGAGTAGCCTCTGGGTGGAGCAGGACGGGTCACAGCAGCAGAGGTGGTGTAGCCTCTGGGTGGAGCAGGACGGGTCACAGCAGCAGAGGTGGAGTAGCCTCTGGGTGGAGCAGGACGGGTCACAGCAGCAGAGGTGGAGTAGCCTCTGGGTGGAGCAGGACGGGTCACAGCAGCAGAGGTGGAGTAGCCTCTGGGTGGAGCAGGACGGGTCACAGCAGCAGAGGTGGAGTAGCCTCTGGGTGGAGCAGGACAGGTCACAGCAGCAGAGGTGGAGTAGCCTCTGGGTGGAGCAGGACGGGTCCCAGCAGCAGAGGTGGAGTAGCCTCTGGGTGGAGCAGGACAGGTCACAGCAGCAGAGGTGGAGTAGCCTCTGGGTGGAGCAGGACGGGTCACAGCAGCAGAGGTGGAGTAGCGTCTGGGTGGAGCAGGACGGGTCACAAGGTGGAGTAGCCGCTTGGTTCGGACCATTTTCTCTGCTCTAGTCCAAAGTAAAATGCTGAATGCTTCATTCGCGTTTTTCAAAAAGTTAGCCCTCTTCCAGTGGATTTTTGCCTTATCCGCTTGGTTCGGACCATGAATCCTCTCTGCTCTGGTCTGGACCAGTGTAAAACCATGAATCCTCTCTGCTCTGGTCTGGACCAGTGTAAAACCATGAATCCTCTCTGTTCTGGTCTGGACCAGTGTAAAACCATGAATCCTCTCTGCTCAGGTCTGGACCAGTGTAAAACCATGAATCCTCTCTGCTCTGGTCTGGACCAGTGTAAAACCATGAATCCTCTCTGCTCAGGTCTGGACCAGTGTAAAACCATGAATCCTCTCTGCTCAGGTCTGGACCAGCTAAAGCTAGGATAAATGCTAAATGCTAACAACAGACTCGGGCGCACTACATACTTCACAGTAAACTCAGATCCAATGGTTTCAATCTGCAAAAGGAGTTAACTCCTCCCACCTGTTCACGGAGTCAATGAAGCAAATCCAGACCTTAGTACCAACTGTCATTTGTACTGTGGTGTGGTACGACCAGGCTAGTTCCCATGCATTTCACACACCAACATGTACAGTATGTCCTGACCTGAAACACAGTGGGAAAAGCACCTATCTCATTACAACAACAAAAACTCCATGGGGGGAGACATGTGCCCCCACGGAAAAAGAAATAATCCTATAACTGGCTGGGGCAGTGAGAAACTAGTGGGAACGGAAGAAAATTAATACAAAAGATGGATACGAGAGGCGAAAGAAATCAGGAAGGGAATGACGGACCATCAACAGAGACGAGGGGGCGTTCACCTTGGCTCACACTTGGGACTGACTTCTACAGAGACCACAACGCAGTAGACTTTCGCTTTCCTCAAAGTTGGCACATTGCATGCCAACTTTGAGGAAAGCGAAAGTCTACTGCCCAAACATGTCAGTTAATCAAGCAGTATTAGCTTCTTTACTATTACCTTACTGCTTCAAAGGTTAGAAAAACCTTCAAAGCAGGGATTAGTACAGTAGTACAGTTGGAGGATGCATTTTTCTTTAAAGCAATGTTCCTGCGCGTCTATGCGGAGGTCTGCGCTCTATGAATGCTCTAGTTTCCACCTGTCATCCTTCACATCCTGCTACCCTCCATCCGTAGTCCCCGCCACCGTCCGGCTTACTGTGGCTAATGAAATGAAAACAACTGTGCAATAAGTCAGTTAATTCATTCTCTTGTACTTTCAGACAGCAACCAACTATTTGTACAAAAGGGCTGTGCTCCTCCTGATGTTCCATGTCCGTCTACAGGATCTATCGTTGTTTCTTTTCACCAGCTCTCTTTTTCTTTCATCTTTAACATCTCATGCTGCAACACAGACGGGTGCAATGTTGCTAAACAAAGCAGTGAGTGTGTTCTTTTATTGTAATATTTTGTTTCTATTTCACACTAGAAATAAGGAATGTGGGGACAGACATTCATATAAAGACCATTAATAGAACATTCTGTTAAATGTTTGTTTCTTTCTATCGTCTTCTTTCAACAGCTATGATCCCTGCTGGCTCCCTGCAGTGTTACAGCTGTAACCACAACGGGAGTGAATGCACAGCTAATTTGACTTGTAACGAAATAGAGGTCTGCTCTATGACTCCTGGTAAGTAAACTAACTTGGACTATTCTACCCGTGCTTCTGTGTAAGTTAGATGAATCTAAACAGAGTATGATATTATACTAATTATGCAAAGACTAGATTAACCCTGAAAACTAAATATTGAGTACATTGTAAATCTGGAGATGGAAAGTAGGCCAGATGCAAATACTTTGCACTCACAGGCCACTTTATTAGGTACACCTATCCAACTCCACTTTAATGCAAATTCCTAATCAGTCAATCACATGGCAGCAACTCAATGCATTTAGGCTGTAGACATGCTCAAGACAATCTGCCGAAGAGCATCAGAAGTGGGACGAAAGGTGATTTAAGTGAACGTGGCCTGGTCGTTGGTGCCAGACAGGCTGGTCTGAGTATTTCAGAATTTTCTAATCTACTGAGATTTCCACACACAACCATCTCCAGGGTTTACAGAGAATGGTCCGAAAAAGATAAAATATCCAGTGAGCGGCAGTTCAGTGGGCAAAAAATGCCTTGTTAATGCCAGAGGTCAGAGGTGAATAGCCAGCCTAGTTCGAGCTGATAGAAAGGCAACAGTAACTCAAATAACCACTTGTTACAACCAAGGTCTGCAAGAGAGCCTCTGAACACAGAACCCGTCAAACCTTGAGGCAGCAGCAGAAGAGGGGTGCCACTCCTGTCAAAACAGGAAACTGAGGCTACAATTTGCACAGGCTCACCGAAATTGGGCTGTAGAAGATTAGAGAAAGTTGCCTGGTCTGATGATTCTCAATTTCTGCTGCGACATTCGCATGGTAGGGTCATAAATTGGAGTCAACTACATCCTGCCTTGTATCAATTGGTTCAATCTGGTGTTGGGGCTGTAATGGTTTGGGGAATATTTTCTTGGCACTCTTTGAGTCGCTTTGTACCAATTGAGCGTCGTGGCCACGCCACAGCCCACCTGAGTATTGGTGCTGACCATGTCCATCCCTTTATGACCACAGTGTACCCATCTTCTGATGCTACTTCCAGCAGGATAAAACACCTTGTCATAAAGCTCAAATCATCACAGACTGGTTTCTTGAACATGACAAGAAGTTCACCGTACTGTAATGGCCTCCACACTAGATCTCAATCCAATAGAGAAACTTAGGGATGTGGTGGAACAGGAGCATCATGGATGTGCAGCCAACAAATCTGCAGAAACTGTATGGTGCAAATATGGACCAAGCTCTCTGAGGAATGTGTCCAGTACCTTGTTGAATCTATGCTACGAAGGATTAAGACAGTTTTGAAGGCAAAGGGGGTCCAACCCGGTACTAGCAAGGTGTAACTAAAAAAGTGCCCAGTGAGTGTGTGTAATATATATATATATATATTATTTATTATATATATGATCCAAACAACCAGGATCTACAGCCATGACACGGGATGTCATTCGGACTCGAGAAATGTAGCAGGATGGTGACTCGGAGAGGCAAGGTAGTCCACACAGAAGGGATCTCACTCCCAGAGGGAACAATAGCAGACGTTGAGGACAGTTACAAGTATCTCGGTATACCACAGGCAAATGGCAACCTCGAACAGGTGACGAGGAAAGCGGCAACTGCCAAATACCTCCAGCGAGTAAGGCAGGTCCTAAGAAGCCGGCTCAATGGCAAGAACAAGGCCCGGGCAATTAACAGCTACGCCCTGCCAGTGATCAGATACCCTGCAGGAATAATCAGGTGGCCAAAGGAAGAGATTCAGACCACGGATGTTAAAACTCGAAAGCTCCTTACCATGCATGGCGGGTTCCATCCCAAATCCAGCACCCTGAGACTGTACGTAAGCCGTAAAGAAGGAGGCCGAGGACTAGTGAGTGTGAGAGCCACTGTCCAGGACCAAACATCCAAACTCCATAACTACATCATGGAGAAGGCCAAAACAGATGACGTACTCAGTGAATGTCTCAGGCAGTGGCGAGATGAGGAGGTGCTGGAGGAGATCCCATCATGGGAGAACAAGGGTTGGGTTGGGACATTCGGCACATGCGTCAAATACGTTAATTTTATAACATTTAAATTAACACATTTGACGCATGTATATCGGTCCAGAAATGTGCAGTGCTAGGAACAGCAAAGATACTGCGCAGAACCCTCAAGCTCCCAGGCCTCTGGTAGAGGACCCGAGCTTAGAGAGGGATAACCGCCCGCGGAGGGTGAAAGGTGTGTGTTGTTTATTATATATATATTATATGCGATAATGGGGGAAATGAGGTATGACATTAAAAAGGTAGATTAAAAACTGGGTGCCGAATGAAATAATTTATGGATTAAAAGAGCTGGGCGTTTCCAATAAAACCAGAAGTTAAAATGAATTAAAATAATGTTTAATACAATATCAAATGGATAAAAACATGATAAAATGATGGCGGTCCACGTGGGTCCGATGCTCTCTCCCCGGCTGGTGGAGGAAGGGCAGCACTCCCACGGAGTCCGGTCCCGCACAGCACCCAGGGTCCCTCCTGCAGCCCAAGGCTTCAACCCCCTTAACACCACGACTACACTGGAGCAAAACTCACCGGCAGGGCAGGGTCCGAATGCCCTGCCTCTAAGTGGAGTCGGCTTCGTGGTGCGGGGGTCCAGAGCGTGGGCGCCATGGTGCTGGCCCGGTGCGCGCTGGTCCCTCTCCCGGGCAGACGCAAAATCCACTGCACTCGCAGTGAGCACTAAAGCTGAGAATGCGCTGTTTGCTAAAGCTTTTATAATATGTTTTTGATGTGTACATTCAGACTAAACATATAGCGGAGGTGGGGAGCAGAGTAGATTATTAGAGAGAAGTAGAAGCACAGATAAAGGGAAAAAGGTCCGCAATAAGGTGGAAAAGGGGCCAAAGCAGCGGATACCAGCTGCCAATCCCGCAGCAGCGCTGTTGCCCCAAACGAATGGGCACAGCAACGCCCAACACAGAAGGGGCTAATCGCAACGCGGGGGACAGTCACAAAAATAAATACGATTAAAATGCATCCATTTTTTTAACACGCTAATTTTTGTGTAATTAATTAATCTTAATTAACGCGTTAAAGTCCCAGCCTTTTGGTTTGTACTGTATATATATATATATATATATATAGATAGGAGGACCCAAAAGTCATTGAGCATGCTGCAAGGGAGCTATTGAACCATGGAGAGCTAATCTGGAACACAATCTTTGTTCATCTTTGCATTTCAGGAAACAACTCCAGACAACTTTACGGATGCATCTCAAAGAATTTTTGTAACAACATCACCATGTCGCAAACATTCTTTAGGTATGACAAAGAAATATCATGCTGCGACACACATCTCTGCAACGACCCGTTCAAGACTGAAGATAACACTGGGAATAACACTGGCCTGTTGCTGTCTTTGAGTGTGCCTCTTTTTATTCTGGGTCTATTCACTCACGCATTCTAACCTTATTGTTTATGTCATTGTGAAGAATACAATTTTGATTTTTGAATTTCCAACAGTTTAAAACTGCCTTTTCATCATTAAAAGAAATGCATGACAAAACCAGTACACCCACAATTTATCCAATTCAGACTTTTCAGACACACACTTGGCACATGCGCCTTCATTGCATTGGATCTTGTGTTCCCTATTCTTTGCCAAAATGTTATCAAGAACAGTTGGAGCCGTAATTGTCACCTTATACTTGCATTTTATTTCATTCAGTCTTGCATTTTTTTCCCTCATGGAAATGAACACTGATTGTCTGGGTGGGGAGTGCACCTAAGTATAAACCGCACCAGCTATTTCTTTTAAAGGAAGTATAGGTACATATTGATGATGTTCTTTGTAGGCATAACACAGGACACTTTTAACCCAGATATTAAGAAACAAAAATAGGTTTTTATTATTCAGTGGAGGTCGGAGCCCCTTTGCCAGAAGTGGTGATGACAAATTCAGACTTGTAGATAGGGATGCTTTTTAACAAACATGTACAAATCCAAACTAGGTAACTTTGGGTCAACCAGTTATTAGAAGCTGTGTCAACCCAGAGTTAACTGAAAACATTACTCCCTAATGACATGGGTGAGCAATTCCAACACATAAAAGCTGACGTCAGTGTTTATGTAGATGAACAACCAATCACAACCATGGATAAAACACAATGATCGTAGCAACAAGAAATAATGACATAAAATATGAAACATATATTGTAAAGTACAACATTGTACTGGCACCGTGCGCAGAAACTGTTTTTTTATCCAACTGTGTGGGTGGGTGTGCATGTATGGGTGGCTGCCGTCTGTTGGAGGGGTTCCGTCTGTTTGGTGGCTGGGATTGGGCCATGTTTTCGATTAACTGTATAGTTTTTTTGTTTTACTCTGTTTTGATTGAAAATAAATAAATAATAAAATAAAGTATCACTTTAAAAAATAAAGTTGTTATCATTCACAGAAAGTGTGCAAGAGTAAACCAAAACCAAATTAGGATTGTGCATAAATGTAGGCACCACAAGAGGAAAAATATCTCAATATTATTTACATCCTCCTTTTGCAGTAACAACAGCCTCGAAATGAGTCCAGATTCTCATGGAAGGTTTTTTGGACCGTTATTATTTGCAGATGTCCAGAGCGTGGGGGCCATGGTGCTGGCCCGGTGCGCGCTGGTCCCTCTCCCGGGGTCCCTCTCCCGGGCTCCCCCTCCGAGGCTGCACGCCCCTCCTCCGGTGCCACTCACGTTCCGTCTCTCTGTCCTCTCCTTCCCTGGTCTTGCTGCATGGTCTCTTCTTCTTCTTCTTCTAATGGTTTGCGGCAGGCTGTACGCTAGCAAAGCGTAATGCTGCCCTCTTCTGTTCACTCAACTCACTTCACTTTACTTCAGATTCTTGAGTAGAGGTTGGTGGAGAGAAGATAGCTCATAACCGCCCTATCTATTAAACGCGAGTTTGGCCTACACGAAAAAATCGATCTTATTGAAAACACAGTAAGCCCAAGGGTTGCAAGGTCTTTAAATAACATTCCCCTTTCCACAGAATAACAGGTGCACGACAGCAACACATGTGGAATAGTCTCCAACAGACCACACTGACACAGCCCGTCTGGATGCTTGCCCATTGTATACAGATATGCAGCAAGCCCACAATGCCCCAGTCTTAATCTGGTTATTTTAACTTGGTTTGATCGGCAGGTGTACCACAGGAGTCTACTACCCTGCACTAGAGGTTGGCACCTAAAATAGTGTCTCCCTGTCGTCTCATTCTCCCACTCCCTCTGCCATTGTTGGTGCATAGCAGTTTTAAAAATACTGACACACTCAGCCTTCCCCAACCGGACCACATATTCGATTTCTGTCTCGAGAAGTGCCTCCTTAGCTAATGTATCAGCAGCTTCATTCCCCACTATTCCTGAATGAGATGGGATCCAGGAAAAAACAATACTAGACCCCATCAGCTCTATCCGGCGAAGGCAACACAAAATCTCCAGCACAATATCTGCCCTAGACCCAGAGGGACCATCCGAAATTGCCTGTAAGGCAGCCATAGAATCAGAATAAATATACGCCGTTTCAGGCTGATTTCTCTCAACCCAATCTACCGCCCACCAAATGGCTAACAGCTCAGTAGTGAACACAGAGACATGATCAGACACTCGCATACTTTTCCTACTTTCATTATTCATAATGTAGACTCCAAAACCAGCTTTTCCTGAGCTTGGGTCCTTAGACCCATCTGTAAAAATGTGGTACGAAGTTTCCTTATTAAGAGCCACAAACTCATTTATTTGGCCACTAACACGACCTTTGTCCAGCCCAAGCAGGTCCAATTGGACCTCTGGTTCTGGCAAAAGCCAGACTGGAAAAGGGGACCACACTGATGCAGCAACATTCCCGTTCTCCAGGCCCACCTTACTAGCCAACTGCCAGATAGATCTTAGAAAACTCGCCTTTCCCTCCCTCTTTACAAATTCCCAGCAGTCCTCCAAGAGGCACTTGGCCGCAGAATTATGCTGAAGTCCTGCTAGTCTGGCCCAGTACTGGAGTCCCAGCTTCTGCCTTCTAATATTTAAAGATGTTTCCCCCATTTCAACCAATAGCGCAGGTATGGGTGTGGTTCTAAACGCTCCACTGCAGACTCTGAGGGCTTTTGCTTGAACTCTGTCCAGCTTTATTAATACAGTTTTAGCCGCAGCACCAAATACAAAACAACCATAGTCCAATGTTGATCTTATCATTACTCTATAGATCATAAGCAGAGTTGATCGATCTGCTCCCCAGTCCCTGCCAGCCAAACTACGAAGAACATTAATTACTTTTTCACACTTCCCAACAGTCTTTTCAATATGCCTGTTCCAGGTCAGCCTCTCATCCATCCACATTCCAAGGAATTTGAACACATTTACCTTTTCTAACTGGTTACCATATAAATACAAAGTCCTTTGGGGCAATTTCTTTTTTAGACCAAATATCATGTAATTACTTTTAGATGCTGAAATTTTAAAACCCCACGTGTCTGCCCAGCATACTATTTGATCCAAGGCTACCTGAGTTTGCTTAATTAAATATTCTAAATTTTTACCCCTACGCCAAATAGCGCCGTCGTCTGCATAAAGGGATTTCCCAAAAGCTGCATCGACTCACTGAAAGATACTATTTATCATTACATCAAATAAAACCGGGCTAATTACAGATCCTTGAGGTGTACCATTCAAAATACTAGCCGTTTTGGAGAATTTGCTTTCTATTTTAACCTAACGGTAGAACAATACGTTCTACCGTTAAGGAAATCTTTAATCCATAGGAACATCCTTCCCCTAATACCGGCATCAAAAAGTTTAAACAGCAAACCCTCCCGCCACATACTGTCATAAGCCTTTTCTATGTCAAGGAAAACTGCCACCACAGCCTCCTTGTCAATCACTGCCTTTCGAATATCCTGATCCAATACTGCAACAGAGTCCATGGCATTTCTACCAACCCTAAAACCGTTTTGGTAATTCACAAAAAACCCAGTAACTTCTAAAGAATACATAAGTCTATTAGTGACCATCCTCTCCATCACCTTACACAGCACTGAAGTCAATGCTATGGGTCTGTAAGACGACGGAGAGGATGGGTCCTTTCCTGGCTTCAGGATAGGAATTATGACAGCATGTTTCCAAACCTTGGGTAGCGACCCAGCTTCCCAAATGTAGTTAAACAAGACCAAGATCTCTTCAAGCACTGGATCATCCAGCTGCTGTAAAAGCTTATAACTTATCTCATCTTGTCTGGGTGAAGTATTAGCCCCAGCGTCTACTGCCTCCTTAAGCTCCTTAAAAGAAAAATACACATTAAAAGCACTGTTTGCATCCTCACTGCATGTTAACTTCCACTTGTTATCTTGCAAAACTTCATTTCTAATTCTAAGACTTTCATCCCTTAAAAACTTTGAGTTATGGACATCTTGAAATACTTCTACACACATATTTGCTTTTTCTTTGCTAGAAATAGCTTCTATATTCCCATTCTTTAACACAGGTACACCAGTATTGGTCCTTTTCCCTACCATTCTATGAATCCTAGACCAGATTTGTTTAACTGGGGTTTTAGGGCCCAACGTACTACAGTACTCCCTCCAGCATTTCTTTTTTGCCTCCTTGATAGTCTTCCGAGCTAAAGCCCTACACCTTTTAAAATCAATAACATTTTCCTGGATAGGATGCATCCTTAACTTTTTAAAAGCTTTCCTTCTATTACTTACTGCCGTAGAACATTCCTTGTTCCACCATGGGACAATTATTCGATCACGGGGGAATCTTCTACTTGGGATAGACTCTGAAGCTACCCTTAGGATCATAGCTGACAAAGAGTTACACATGTTATCTATAGAGCCATTACTATCCACCCCTGCCAACCCCTCATTAGTACCTTCCCTGAACTTGTTCCAATCAGCGGTTGGAGAAATCCAACCTAGGTGGTGTACCTGAAGATTCCACCACAAGTGCTCTATTAAAAATTGCCATAACAGGAAAGTGATCACTACCAAATGTATCTTCGCCCCAAACTCCCCACTCTGCTAACCTGGCCAGTGCCGGGCATGTAAAAATGAGATCAAGACAAGTCTTGTTTGTATTTATATCAATCCGAGTTGAGCTTCCATCGTTCAAGATTATAAAATTACTTCTATCCAAAAATTCCTCTACCACACCCCCATTTGCGTCCCTTTCCTGGCTCCCCCACAGAGGGTTATGGGCATTAAAATCACCCACCCACACAGCAGAGGGACCTGTCCTCCTCTCAATTTCATCAAACTCTGCCAAAATCAGAGGCTTACACGGGTTATAACAATTCACCACAAATATTTTACCCTCAGTGCTCCACACCTCAGTGATTAAACACTCCAAAGAGACTTTACAGTCACATTGTTTATACTGAATACCCACTCTAATAAATGTAGCACACCCACCACCAGACCTATCGCCTCGATCCTTACGCAAACACTCATATCCCGGAATTGAGAAATCTAGACACGATTTCAGCCACGTCTCTTGGACACACACAATATCTGGTTTCACATCAAGATCCCTGATAAACTTCTTAAACTCTTGCCCATTGGCTATAAGGCTCCTAGCATTCCATTGTAGGATGCGGACCATGGGAGATTACGCTAAATCCCCCCAAAGAAGGCTTCAAGCCCCCCTTCCTCCATATTAATTTCTTCTTCCTCGACTCCATCTCCTGCCCCACTGCCGGTGCTGGACTGGCTCGATGACTGGTTTTGAGCCCCCTGAGCCTCCTGAACCTCCTTCATGTAGCCGAACAGCAACTGGGGAGCATAGTCTTTAAGCCCCAAAAATCTGCCAGCAGACTCAACCACCCACTTGATTAGATCTGATCTTGACTTTTTACCACGGGATCCATACACAACATCGACAATGAATGCCATAAGTGACTCTTTATTTACTACCAAATCCTGATTAGGGCTGCCATGCGTCTCTATTCGTCGTTTTGAAGCATTTGGAGGAGCCATACCTACAGCCTGGGCCTGAGGCTTTCCCTCCACCTTTTTCACGGCTTCTGCATAAGAGATCTTGTGTTGCTCTTTCACCTCTTGTACGCGCTTTGCTTTTGCAAACACCGCGCAATCCTTAGAGGATGCCATATGACAGCCTCCACAATTACAGCATTTTGGAGACGGCACACTACAGGACGCAATATCGTGCTCTCCTCCACACTTGGTACACCGCCTATTACCGCGACATGAAGCAGCCAAATGTCCAAACCGCTGGCACTTGAAGCATCGCATCGGGGGTCTCTGATAACTTCTAACCAGAAATGACAAACAACCAATAAACACCCTTTCTGGCAAGACATTACCACTAAACGTGATCAAAACTGGAGCATTGGGGTTTCCGCCTTCGCGAGCTTTAAACCGTTTAACTTCACACACAGTCCCACCTTTGATACTTTCCTTTATTTCACACTCCAAAACTTCAGCATATACACCATAGATGACGCCCTGAATAACTTCCTTTTTCTCCACCATCTGTGCCTCCACTTTTTTCCCGGAAATCTTCGCTATCTTAGCCACTTTCCCCATCTGCTCCTTGCTTTTACACAGGACCAGCAATGCTCCATTCGACAGAGCGCGGGCATCCACACCCTCCCCAACACTTTTAAATGCCTCGGCCACTTTTAATGGATTTAAGCCTCTAAACCCGTCCCCAATTTGTTCTTTTAACTTAAAGATAACTTGAAACTCTTCAATCGACTTTGCCATTTTCATTACAGGAACTCCGTCTCTTCCAAGTGAGGCGTCTGCACCACGCTTCCTAGCCCCAGTTTTACTTTTATCCCCTTCCTGAATACCCCTTCCTCCACCTCCCGAGGAACAGGCCATCCAAAAGTTATACAAGCAAGCACTCAAAGCTCAAACTGAGTGGATAGTTTAGTAAGATTTTACGACTTGCTGACACTACAGCGTCTCCGCTCTCCACCAACCGTTCCGCCTTCCGAGTCTACCACTGTTTGATTCCCACAGCAGAGCAGACTGGCCTCTCGTTCCGCGAAGCTAACAGCTAACAGCTAACCCCGGTGAAGACAAGTCTGACAGTCATGTGACCTGCTGACTCGGATCTGCTGCATGGTCTCTTAATACTGCCCCAGACACAGGTGTGCTGATTGGAATCAGGTGCAGGCAGGTGTGCCAGGTAACCACGGCAACTGGGAGGCATGAAATAAAAACACTACAAACTAAAACATGCAAACAAAACACAAATGCACAATATATATATATATATATATATATTGGGGCTGTCAAACGATTAAAACGTTTAATCAATTTAACTACAGCTTAAAAATGTATTAATCGTAATTAATCCCATTTTTTACTATCGGGAAATTATGCCTTATTTTTCTGTAAATGGTTGTTTGAATGTATAGATAAATGACAGCAAAGTGAACATATGTACTGTAAATCCACATAACATTAACATTCTGTCTTTCTGTTTAGACTCAGACCAAAACTATTGTTTGTTACAGATGAGGGACATTTCAAAACAGTCTGAAATGCAGAATGTCATTAAATCTGTTTGATTTGGTTACACCATTACTTTTTTTGGCACAACCAACATGAACTGGTAGTGGAAGGGAAAATCAGGTACCCCAGTCTTTACGCAAAGACACGCACTACAATCAGAGAACAGTGCTGTGGTGTATGGTCTTGCATAGGATCATGTTACGTGGCACCGTTCGAGTGATCACAGCCGCTGGAGGAACCACAGTCCAGAGCAGCTCAGCTCGCAGAGTTCATACAGGAAACAGCAGCAAGTTTCTGCGGCCCTTCTGAGTGTTATTATGAGATGTAAGGGCTGGTCATTAGGTACATGCGTACATTTTTTTCATTAATCGCGTTAAAAAAAAATTACGCGATTAATGAAAAAAATTAATTAACGTGCGTTAATGCGATTAATGAAAAAAATTAATGAACGTGCGTTAATGCGATTAATGAAAAAAATTCATTAACGTGCGTTAATGCGATCATTTTATATATTAGGGCTGGGACACAATAAAAATAACAAAATCGAATTAAATAGAGGTTTTGTACTTAACACGAACCCTCCGATCTGTGAGTACAGTGACGCTAACTCATCGTATACTTCTGTAAACTAAATAATTAGGGTCTGATTGTGGATCAGGGCTCGATGTTACGGAGTGTCATTGTAGGAAAACGTTTATTCACAGGTCTGAAATGACTATTGTTACGGCCGGCTCAGGGCCACAACAAATAGGGAGGCGAAACGGGGGTAAAAAGTGCAAAAAGTATATTTAATAATAACATAAGACGAGTATAACATAACAAAAACAAGGTATGAGGTGTGAGCATGTTGTAATCAGTGTGTGGTGCAGGTGTGTGAGTGCATAGAAAGCCAGTGTGTGTGGTGCAGGTGTGTGAGTGCATAGAAAGCCAGTGTGTGTGGTGCAGGTGTGTGAGTGCATAGAAAGCCAGTGTGTGTGGTGCAGGTGTGTGAGTGCATAGAAAGCCAGTGTGTGTGGTGCAGGTGTGTGAGTGCATAGAAAGCCAGTGTGTGGTCTGCAGGTGTGTGAGTGCATAGAAAGCCAGTGTGTGGTCTGCAGTGAATGTGGTGCATAAAACAAAAGACAAACTCAAATGTGCAAATAAGGAACGAGCACCAGGGCAGGACCAAACAAGACAGCAGTGCCGGGTGTCACTCCCGTATTTGTCCCGGAAACCGGATTTGTCCGGAAGTTCAGTTTGATCCAATGATCATACGCAGCAGTAGATTACGTCACGGAATCTGGACGGAAGCGGAAGTAAATATAAAAAACTACCTATTCATGCCTAAACTTAACCAGCCATTCCCATAAAATAACCCCAACCCAGCCTTAACCCTAACCAGCCTTAATTGTCTTGAAAGATCCAGTCCTGGCGCAGTTACATTTTGTGAAGAGACCACAATACGCTGTCGTCATCTTGTTAGAAGATATATTCATGTTCTTAAGAAAAAAATATTGGCTGGGTGAAGGTGATCCACTTTTTTATAACTTTTCTGAAAAGCTGCTTTGAAGATATAACAGAGGCCAAATATACAGGAATGGGAAAAAAAATAACCAAGCTGTGTTGAGAGTGAGGAAATAGTTTAGTTAAATGGATTTTTGTTTCGTTTTTTTTCTTTTGTGGTTTGAAAGTTAGCAAGTGCACATACAGAACCAATTTCCAGTTTGTCAAAGGAACCACACTGTTTGAGTTTCAAGCAGCGAAGATTATTGAAAAATGTAACATCAGCACTGAGTATAATTTGATGGAGGATATAACATGGCGCCGTGTGTGTACTGTCTGGTGCACACTGGGGCAGTCTTGCACAGATTTCCAATGTGGTTTTACTGCAAATGACAATCAAACTCTTGAATCTTGAAATTCAACTTGAGGCAAGGCAAGGCAAGGCAAGTTTATTTGTATAGCACAATTCATACACAAGGCAACTCAAAGTGCTGAATAAGAAAGCATTAAAATCATAAATAATCACAGAATATTAAAAAGGAAGATAAAAATATAAAATCCCTCAGTTGTAGCACAGCTAAACAGAACTGTCTTTAACCTGGTTTTAAACATTGTCAGAGAGGAGGCCTGTCTCACATCTTCAGGAAGATTGTTCCAGATTTTAGCAGCATGAATCTGAAAAGCAGCCTCCCCATGTTTAGTTCTGACTCTGGGCACTAACAGGAGTCCAGTCCCTGTGCTCCTCAGAGTCCCAGCAGGAGTCCAGTCCCTGTGCTCCTCAGAGTCCCAGCAGGAGTCCAGACCCTGTGCTCCTCAGAGTCCCAGCAGGAGTCCAGTCCCTGTGCTCCTCAGAGTCCCAGCAGGAGTCCAGTCCCTGTGCTCCTCAGAGTCCCAGCAGGAGTCCAGTCCCTGTGCGTCCCAGCAGGAGTCCAGTCCCTGTGCTCCTCAGAGTCCCAGCAGGAGTCCAGTCCCTGTGCTCCTCAGAGTCCCAGCAGGAGTCCAGTCCCTGTGCTCCTCAGAGTCCCAGCAGGAGTCCAGTCCCTGTGCTCCTCAGAGTCCCAGCAGGAGTCCAGACCCTGTGCTCCTCAGAGTCCCAGCAGGAGTCCAGTCCCTGTGCTCCTCAGAGTCCCAGCAGGAGTCCAGTCCCTGTGCTCCTCAGAGTCCCAGCAGGAGTCCAGTCCCTGTGCTCCTCAGAGTCCCAGCAGGAGTCCAGTCCCTGTGCTCCTCAGAGTCCGGGCTGGACTTGCAAAATTTTACTGATCCACAAGATAATGCATTTGGACTCACTCACTATGGAATGCTTTGACGAAAGGACTTTCCTGACACTGGCTTTGGACATCCAAATGCCTTTTCAGCAGAGCTCACATGATTGAAAGTTCAGCCAGTCTGCTTTCCTTTTTGTTCTGGCAGATGAAGATGTATCAGTCTCAGCAGCAAACATTGGCTAAACAGATGTCCCTTCCCCGGGAAGAGCTCTTCTGTCACTTTGGAGCTCACAGGCGAGAGATGGGTTACCCCTGGCCTCCAAAACTATTTTCTCTAAAGATCAAAGTCTGGTGTCGCTTGTTCTCCACTACTCAAATGGATGGGCAGGGGCCAGGCTCTGTTCCGGTCTCAAAGTGGTGTGTCATATCATCTCTTTGACTTTGGTCTGTAAAGAGTATGCAAACTCACAGTGGAGAGATTTTTCCCATGTCATTGGCACCCTTACACTGTTAATGTGAGTTATGTATGATACAGTCATTTATATTCCATCACAGCATTTAACAGGGGCGTGTTGGCATGGCTCATTGCAAGCTGCAGGTACCTGAGATTGAATAACCACCTGAGTGTTTTCTTCAGCTTAGACTGCTGCTGCTGCAAAACTATCAGGTAAAAAAAAAAAAAAAATCAAGTTTTGTTCTTTGCACCTGTACACCCAACTGTCTTGTATGAACCCCGTCCTGATATCCACAGTGTATGTTGCCATTATGTGTTTCCCCATACAGCCGGTATCTTGTAGAAGAGTAGGATTTTGAACATAATAAGAGTTAGTCTGCAGCTAAACAAATGTCACAGGTTTAAAAGTGCTACTGACGCGGTGTGACCAATAAAAAAGGCAAAGTTTAAAAAATAAATATCCGCTCGTGGCTTCAAGGCGC